ACCTCTGCGCGTGGCATCTCAAGAATTGTTTTGTTGTTTTGGGAGCTGTTTTTAGGTAAAAAATATCACAACTCATGCTCAAGATATGTTTGAATAACCGTTCCGACTTTCGACGAAAGCGGAATATTTATGGTCGGAAGGTTTTGTTCCTTCAGTCATTTTTCGGCAATCAAAATTATAGTTTTTTAGCAATTTTTTACACCAATGAAAATACCAACGTCTTGAACTCAAACTTAAGCAGACGTTTTATTTTTGATTATTTTCTTGCAAACTTTTAGAATTGAAAGTTGCAAATTTGGCCATGCTCTTACATAACTTATCCGCGCTTTGAAGATTTTATTCATAATGCTGAAGGCGTAAAACAATAAATTTGTACGTTGCAAATTATCTCGCACAAAAAGTTGGTCCAAATTGAATTGAGGCTTGCTAATCGGTCGTATTAATTTCGTACGACTCAAACTTTCTCAGTTGATCTTTGATATGGTCTAAAACTTTTAGTTTTTCAAGTTTTTTCCCGAAAACAGTTTGATATGGGTCAAGGGGCAGTCAAATATTCAGGGTTTGCCCTTTATACGAGCAGTCTTGTTTATAATTTTCAGGTGATTTTTGATCAGAAAAATAATTACACAGTTCTACGACACCTGCAAAAAGTTTTTTTTTGCCCCTTAGACCATTCCTTTTTTATTACTCTTGAAAAAACCCAATGAAAAATACTAACTAATTATCCACGTTATAGCAAAACCGTGCAAAAATTAGATTTTTCTAGTAAATTGAACAAGAATTTAAGATTCAAGCGTTTCTGAATGAAGTGTACTGGGTATCAAAAACATAACTTATAAGAAAAAAAAAACAAAAATCCGACGAAAGTCCGAGAATTTTATTTGAGTTTTGTTTTTTACTTTGTAACAAATTTTGAGGTTGTTTTTTTTCCGAGAAACCCGCGGGATCGCTGAGATACAAAAAATCGTAGAGGATCCTGTTAAAGTTTCTGCTTCCGTTTACATTATCTTCTAAATTGATGATGTTGGCTTTTGCAGCACTCTCTGTTGCAGCTGTAATCTTGAGCATCAATTCCGCTCCTCAAAATTTCTTTGTTTTTCGATAACACTACGAGGCCAAAATGTGAATCCTGAACAATTTATGGAGTCATCAAACATACATGTTTTGATTTGTATTCAGTTTAAAATTTTGTGAATATTTTGTTTATATACTCAAAAACAATAACAGAATCCATTCAAACCTTTCTACATTATTCAAGCAAAATTGCAGAATTTATAATATTGCGGATGCGTTTGCATTTGCGGAATTTCGGGAATCTCGAGCAACTAGCAATATTAGGGCGTTGCGCAATCTGCGACAAAACTAACGTGCCGACAAGATTTCCATAACAGTTATTGGAGCTCGAAACCCACAAAAACTTTGTTACTAGAATCCATTCACATTTTGGATTTTTTTTCTAAAAATTTGTCTCCAGATTCCAGTGTTCTATGGACGCCAGAGCAAATTTTGGGCTGGTAAAGAAAAAACTAATTGTATAGAAAAGTTTGAAGTTGTTGGGATGGGCTCAACTGAAGTTAGGGATTGGTTTCACCGTGCTTGATCGACCGTGTTTTATGACCGCGCCCAACCCAAACCTCCGACTCGAATATTTTTTGACCAAGCACTGAAATTTTGCTGAAATTTGAAAGTCGAAACATGAAGAGAGGACTCGTCATTAATTGTTGATTCTGTTGTTGTAAGAATTTTGATAAAATTACAACGACGCACTCCGAATTGAATGTTGTTGTTCCGACTTTCGGAAAGATGTTTTTCATGCTTGGGTGGTATTTTCTATCTCTAGGCAAATTTCGACTTTTAAACTAGCCATTTTTGACGGATTTTGTTGTATCAGTTGTCTGGTAATGTTGCCTTGAGCTCAAATTTAAAAAGATGTTTTACGTGTGATTTTTTTTTGTTAAATTATGGTTGTTTAATTTGGAGCAACTAACGCGCGACATATATTTTACGCTGTTAACGCGTAAGCGGCTATTCAACCCCTCTTGGAAATTTTTCCAAATTGGGCTGAGGCATGCTGTTTGGATTTTTTAATTTTTTACTATAGACGAAATATACGTTAACTCAAGTTAACATCCTCCCCTCCAAATAGGCCAAGTTAAGTTTAGCAAAAACAACCAAGCGTTCAATTTAGAATAAAATTGCCTAGCGCTGCGTATAAAATCCTCTGTTCTTTTGGCGGAAAAATTGAACTCAGAGCAAGTTTACGTGTAAATGTGTTTGGGTGGAGTGTGTTAACTTGGTCCTGTAGATTTTGCTTTTTACACAGCGCGTGCGTGGATGCTGATCAAAAATGCAATAAAAACATTTTGAAAAATTCATATTTTATCAATTTTTTCAAAGCAAACGCTACTCGGATATCTTTAACTAATCTTCCTTCCTTTTGCATAAAAGGGGTTGATTCGTTAGTAGGTACATATTTCTCATATGCGTAAACGTTGAATTATTTCATAGGGGGATTCTTTACTAGGTACCCTAAGGAGGGATTAGTTAAAGAGCCCACTATGAGCCCAATACACATAGGACTTCAAAGGCAGTCGGAGCGTTCAGGGCTTCACCCTGATAAGAGCAGTCTTGTTGTTCCGACTTTCGATACGAAAGTAACGGAATATTTGTGCTCGGGGTGGGTTTTTTTTTCTTCAGACAAATTTCGACTTTTTAACTGGCCATTTTTGACGGAATTTTTTTATATCATTCAAAAGGTATTGTTATCCTGAACTTAAATTTGAAAAGATATTTCACCTGTGATCATTTTTCGTAAAGTTATGGGGGTTTAAAGATTGCCATTTTGGCCAATTTGGGACAATTAACGCGCGATATATTTCGCGCTTTTAACGCGTAAGCGGAGAGTTAATCCGTCTTAGAAATCGTTCCAAATTGATTTAACGAAGCTTATTTGCCATAATTGATTTGTTACAAGTAGCGAAATTTATCCTTTTGTACTTTATATGGCGTGTGGGTGGATGAGTTTTATAAAAAAAAAATTCAAATTTTTGAAGAAAAAAAATTTTCATTTTGTTTTATTACTTTTAATTTTTTAATGATATTACTGCTCCATAAACCTTAATGGGCAGTCGGAACCTTCAGGGCTTCGCCCTGATACGAGCAGTCTTGTTTATCCTTAGCATTCTTTTCACCATTCTTGTGGGTTAAACGTTTCAAAACTAACGGTTCTTCTTTTGATACAAACAAAATTAAAACATTTTACATGTATTTAGTCCAAGCAAGCTACCATATATATGGTGAGCTTGTAACACAGTGTATACGCTAACCGTGAACAAAAAAGCCGTGAAAATAAAACCAATGAAAATACCAATCGCCAAATACCATAATGAACGTACGTGTACGTGAAAGTAAATCTGTAAATTTCTGATAAGACGTTATGTCCACATACTGTTGCAATACGTTGCAAAATCTATTCTGGACTGCGGTCTGTATTTAGACATCCGCGTATTCAGACTCGTCAGTAAGCAGACAAATACTGTATTAGCCAATCAGAATGGAGATGGGAGAGCAAATTTACGAAGTAAATAATTATTAATGATTAATTTCTTCCTTGTGTCGTATCTGGTAGGCTAATACAATATTTATCTGCTTACGGACGAGTCTGAATAAGCGATTGTCTATAAATACTGCTCCGTAACCAATTTCTGTTTCTTCATTCTAAGTGAGATATTTCATTCAGATTACATGCTGATTTACTGAATAATTGCTATGGCCTCAGACGAGAGTTTAACTGCGATTCAGACGCAAGCAAAAAAGATGCCATTGGAATGGTTCATCTTCAATAGTTGCGAGCACCATGCATACTATAAAGAAAGGGGCTGTTCGTGTCCAATTTGCGTGAACGATTTAATCAAATGGGTCGACATGGAGGTAAGCTGATTAGAAAAAAGGGATTATTTTATGATTAACAGGGTTGCGCGTTTTCGCACGCATGGCACAAATTTGTCTCGCGTTCATTTTCCCAAATTGGCCAAATTGTCAATTTTTAAAGCTTCAGATTTTTTTTAAAAATGACCACTATTGAAACATGCAATTTTACATTTGAGCTCATGTGAGTTTCCTTTTTATCTTTCAGATGATATTAAAAATATTTTCAAAAAGATTGTTAAAACCAAAAATTGGTATGATAAAAAAACTACAACGAGCACAACTATTTTTCGAAAATCGGAACGAAAATTTTGTGCTTATGCTTTTACATTAAAATTTGATGATTGGAAGTGCGCATAAATTGTGGACCGGCCGGTTAGCAGGTGCAGAATTGGTGAATCTACTGTATTACATACTATAGTACCCTGAGCGTAAGATTGATTTGTCATTAAGTTAAGTAGTACAGCAAGCAAAGGTAAAGTTCAAAATAGTTTCATTAAGTTAAGTAGTACAGCAAGCAAAGGTAAAGTTCAAAATAGTTCAATCTTTGAAGATATTGTCCCTTCTATGGCGACAAAGGCAGGGGGAGTAAGATCTGCAAACCCGCCCCTTCAAATAGGAAATAAAGTGGCTAGGTTTATGAAATTCAGAGGAGCAATATTAGAGATGATTTGACCCGGGCATGCAAAAATCCATACCCTTTGGACCCCCTGGCCCCAAGTGATAACGGTTCCCGGGAGTATAAATGGCCCTATCAGAACTCGGAAACTAGCGGCGGTATTGGGCTCAAATGTTAGTATGTTGTAGGCCTATTTAAGGAAAGCTTAAGTTTGGAACCCCAGACTACTATGACCCTCATTTCCGATTTGATAAAAAAACTACAACGAGCACAACTATTTTTCGAAAATCGGAACGAAAATTTTGTGCTTATGCTTTTAACATTAAAATTTGATGATTGGAAGTGCGCATAAATTGTGGACCGGCCTGTTAGCAGGTGCAGAATTGGTGAATCTACTGTATTACTTGCTATAGTACCCTGAGCGTAAGATTGATTTGTCATTAAGTTAAGTAGTACAGCAAGCAAAGGTAAAGTTCAAAATAGTTCAATCTTCGAAGATATCGCCCCTTCTATGGCGGAAAAGACAGGGGAAGTAAGATCTGCAAATGCGCCCCTTCAAATAGGAAATAAAGTGGCTAGGTTTATGAAATTCGAAGTTTAAAACCCCAGACTGCTATGACCCTCATTTCCGGTATGATAAAAAAACTACAACGAGCACAACTATTTTTCGAAAATCGGAACGAAAAGTTTGTGCTTATGCTTTAACATTAAAATCTGATGATTGGAAGTGCGCATAAATTGTGGACCGGCCGGTTAGCAGGTGCAGAATTGGTGAATCTACTGTATTACATACTATAGTACCCTGAGCGTAAGATTGATTTGTCATTAAGTTAAGTAGTACAGCAAGCAAAGGTAAAGTTCAAAATAGTTTCATTAAGTTAAGTAGTACAGCAAGCAAAGGTAAAGTTCAAAATAGTTCAATCTTTGAAGATATTGTCCCTTCTATGGCGACAAAGGCAGGGGGAGTAAGATCTGCAAACCAGCCCCTTCAAATAGGAAATAAAGTGGCTAGGTTTATGAAATTCAGAGGAGCAATATTAGAGATGATTTGACCCGGGCATGCAAAAATCCATACCCTTTGGACCCCCTGGCCCCAAGTGATAACGGTTCCCGGGAGTATAAATGGCCCTATCAGAACTCGGAAACTAGCGGCGGTATTGGGCTCAAATGTTAGTATGTTGTAGGCCTATTTAAGGAAAGCTTAAGTTTGGAACCCCAGACTACTATGACCCTCATTTCCGATTTGATAAAAAAACTACAACGAGCACAAATATTTTTCGAAAATCGGAACGAAAATTTTGTGCTTATGCTTTTAACATTAAAATTTGATGATTGGAAGTGCGCATAAATTGTGGACCGGCCTGTTAGCAGGTGCAGAATTGGTGAATCTACTGTATTACTTGCTATAGTACCCTGAGCGTAAGATTGATTTGTCATTAAGTTAAGTAGTACAGCAAGCAAAGGTAAAGTTCAAAATAGTTCAATCTTCGAAGATATCGCCCCTTCTATGGCGGAAAAGGCAGGGGGAGTAAGATCTGCAAATGCGCCCCTTCAAATAGGAAATAAAGTGGCTAGGTTTATGAAATTCGAAGTTTAAAACCCCAGACTGCTATGACCCTCATTTCCGGTATGATAAAAAAACTACAACGAGCGCAACTATTTTTCGAAAATCGGAACGAAAATTTTGTGCTTATGCTTTAACATTAAAATTTGATGATTGGAAGTGCGCATAAATTGTGGACCGGCCGGTTAGCAGGTGCAGAATTGGTGAATCTACTGTATTACATACTATAGTACCCTGAGCGTAAGATTGATTTGTCATTAAGTTAAGTAGTACAGCAAGCAAAGGTAAAGTTCAAAATAGTTTCATTAAGTTAAGTAGTACAGCAAGCAAAGGTAAAGTTCAAAATAGTTCAATCTTTGAAGATATTGTTCCTTCTATGGCGACAAAGGCAGGGGGAGTAAGATCTGCAAACCCGCCCCTTCAAATAGGAAATATAGTGGCTGATTTATGAAATTCAGAGGAGCAATATTAGAGATGATTTGACCCGGGCATTCAAAAATCCAGACCCTTTGGACCCCCTGGCCCCAAGTGATAACGGTTCCCGGAAGTATAAATGGCCCTATCAGAACTCGGAAACTAGCGGCGGTATTGGGCTCAAATGTTAGTATGTTGTAGGCCTATTTAAGGAAATCTTAAGTTTGGAACCCCAGACTACTATGACCCTCATTTCCGATTTGATAAAAAAAACTACAACGAGCATAACTATTTTTCGAAAATCGGAACGAAAATTTTGTGCTTATGCTTTAACATTAAAATTTGATGATTGGAAGTGCGCATAAATTGTGGACCGGCCGGTTAGCAGGTGCAGAATTGGTGAATCTACTGTATTACACACTATAGTACCCTGAGCGTAAGATTGATTTGTCATTAAGTTAAGTAGTACAGCAAGCAAAGGTAAAGTTCAAAATAGTTCAATCTTCGAAGATATCGCCCCTTCTATGGCGGAAAAGGCAGGGGGAGTAAGATCTGCAAATGCGCCCCTTCAAATAGGAAATAAAGTGGCTAGGTTTATGAAATTCGAAGTTTAAAACCCCAGACTGCTATGACCCTCATTTCCGGTATGATAAAAAAACTACAACGAGCACAACTATTTTTCGAAAATCGGAACGAAAATTTTGTGCTTATGCTTTAACATTAAAATTTGATGATTGGAAGTGCGCATAAATTGTGGACCGGCCGGTTAGCAGGTGCAGAATTGGTGAATCTACTGTATTACATACTATAGTACCCTGAGCGTAAGATTGATTTGTCATTAAGTTAAGTAGTACAGCAAGTAAAGGTAAAGTTCAAAATAGTTCAATCTTCGAAGATATCGCCCCTTCTATGGCGGAAAAGGCAGGGGGAGTAAGATCTGCAAATGCGCCCCTTCAAATAGGAAATAAAGTGGCTAGGTTTATGAAATTCGAAGTTTAAAACCCCAGACTGCTATGACCCTCATTTCCGGTATGATAAAAAACTACAACGAGCACAACTATTTTTCGAAAATCGGAACGAAAATTTTGTGCTTATGCTTTAACATTAAAATTTGATGATTGGAAGTGCGCATAAATTGTGGACCGGCCGGTTAGCAGGTGCAGAATTGGTGAATCTACTGTATTACATACTATAGTACCCTGAGCGTAAGATTGATTTGTCATTAAGTTAAGTAGTACAGCAAGCAAAGGTAAAGTTCAAAATAGTTTCATTAAGTTAAGTAGTACAGCAAGCAAAGGTGAAGTTCAAAATAGTTCAATCTTTGAAGATATTGTCCCTTCTATGGCGACAAAGGCAGGGAGAGTAAGATCTGCAAACCCGCTCCTTCAAATAGGAAATAAAGTGGCTAGGTTTATGAAATTCAGAGGAGCAATATTAGAGATGATTTGACCCGGGCATGCAAAAATCCAGACCCTTTGAACCCCCTGGCCCCAAGTGATAACGGTTCCCGGAAGTATAAATGGCCCTATCAGAACTCGGAAACTAGCGGCGGTATTGGGCTCAAATGTTAGTATGTTGTAGGCCTATTTAAGGAAAGCTTAAGTTTGGAACCCCAGACTACTATGACCCTCATTTCCGATTTGATAAAAAACTACAACGAGCACAACTATTTTTCGAAAACCGGAACGAAAATTTTGTGCTTATGCTTTTAACATTAAAATTTGATGATTGGAAGTGCGCATAAATTGTGGACCGGCCTGTTAGCAGGTGCAGAATTGGTGAATCTACTGTATTACATGCTATAGTACCCTGAGCGTAAGATTGATTTGTCATTAAGTTAAGTAGTACAGCAAGCAAAGGTAAAGTTCAAAATAGTTCAATCTTCGAAGATATCGCCCCTTCTATGGCGGAAAAGGCAGGGGGAGTAAGATCTGCAAATGCGCCCCTTCAAATAGGAAATAAAGTGGCTAGGTTTATGAAATTCGAAGTTTAAAACCCCAGACTGCTATGACCCTCATTTCCGGTATGACAAAAAAACTACAACGAGCACAACTATTTTTCGAAAATCGGAACGAAAATTTTGTGCTTAGGCTTTAACATTAAAATTTGATGATTGGAAGTGCGCATAAATTGTGGACCGGCCGGTTAGCAGGTGCAGAATTGGTGAATCTACTGTATTACATACTATAGTACCCTGAGCGTAAGATTGATTTGTCATTAAGTTAAGTAGTACAGCAAGCAAAGGTAAAGTTCAAAATAGTTTCATTAAGTTAAGTAGTACAGCAAGCAAAGGTAAAGTTCAAAATAGTTCAATCTTTGAAGATATTGTCCCTTCTATGGCGACAAAGGCAGGGGGAGTAAGATCTGCAAACCCGCCCCTTCAAATAGGAAATAAAGTGGCTAGGT